GTTTTCAAAGAGCTTCAACCCTGCACTGAGCTGCTCTGCAAAGGTTAGAAATGACTTTCTGATCCTCTGCAATTCCAGCAGGCTTTGGGGAGGGCACAATCCCTCCTGTGCTGCACAGGGTGAGGATCTATACCCACATCCTTTCCCCACTTCACAGTTCCCCCAGGGAACTCTGTACCTTACAAAGGCTGTGCAAGGAAACTTTTTAGCCACATGTGGGAAGGACAAAAGAAAGAAGTTATTTTCTGAGAATAACAGATTTATTTTATCATCAGTGATTTCTTAATGAACGAGATCAGGATTATTGCTTTTTATCTGGTTTATTCATATTTTATCCATATTTTTTTGGTGAAAATAAGGGGAAAACCCCTCCCTATTTTCCTTTCTTTCACTCCTCAGTGATGTAAATGCTGTTGATAGAGCCAGGTCTCCCTGCTCTCCTCTGTTCACCCAACTCTGTCTGTTGATCCTCTGTGCTGTGAGGAATTTGGGCTGCACAAGACAAAAAACTGCAGAGCCCAAAAAAATCCTGTTCAAAAGAATTTGGTGGCAATAGTATTTCTGAAAAGGCACTGAGGTAGCTTTGAAATGTTCACAAGCTCTTCTGTCTCTACATAAAAAGGAAAAACCAACTTTGAGTATTCCCTTTTTTTAAACAAGGCTTTATATGTGGTTTATGTTACATCATTTTCTAGCAGTGTCTGAACATTTTATGAGCATTAATTCAACCACTTTGGCCTTTCTATGGCTGAGCAAGGGTTGCAACCTACTGAGAAAATGGGGACAGGGTTTGGGAAATGATTCCCAGGTGCCAACACATCCAATCCTGGTCCGGTTCAGTTTGCTGGATCAATCTTTTCCTGAGATGTCTTTTAAATACAAAGGATGTTTCTGGAGTAAATGGAATTCTGCTGTGTTTTCCCCTCTCATATTATATCTAAATAGCATTCCTAGAAAGATGAATGCAGTGAAAGGGTTTGAAATGCCTGAGGAATTTCCCAGTTAGCTGCCAACTCTTTGTTTTGGCCCCCAGAGGAGCACATCTGCACACAGAGTATTTTTGCAAGCAGGTTTTAGAACAAAGAAATGCAAGGAGCTCTATGTCCCAAGCACACCAAGGAGCTGAGCCATTAATGTGAAATATGGGCTGAAGGAAACAGGAAAATGTTCTCCCCCTTTACACTCCTTTTCTAGGGGGTTCTGAGTTGGGAACATCTTTTACCTCAGCAATTCATGTTGCCCTTTATATGGTAAGAGCTCTTTAAAATATTCAAACTCTTTGTCTTCCAAAGACAGCATCACCAGATAACTCAATGGAAATTCTGCCCAGGGACAGAATTTATTGGCTGGCACTTGCCACAACAACATTTTTTTTGTTCTTTTGCTGTCCAGACAGAAAAGGCTCCTTTGGGAAAAGGAAATTGTCTTAGACACTCAGCTGAAGCTATTTCTCTGTTGCTGGTTGGGAACGGGGAGGGGAATAAAGCCCTTTTCTACCCTGAGGGCAATTAATATAAAGAATGATGATAAAATCAGTGCCTGTTATAAAATTGATGATGGGAATCGTGGGGAAGTGGCTGGAAGAGTCTGTTTGGTGTGAGCTGTGAGCTGAGGCGTTCCATGGAAGTTGTGATCGCTATTTTAATCCTCACACTTTGAGGGAAGGGCAAAGTTGCATCATTTTTAACAGGTCCTTCTCCTTCCCCTCTTCTCCCCCATTTTCCTTTTGCCTCATGCTTCTTCTTTGTTGCAAAGGAACAAAGTAAAAATCCATCTGGAGCTGTCCTGGAGTCCTGCTTGGTGCAAAAAATCCATGTGTGGGCTTCTATTTAGTTTTATTTCCAAATCTCTCTCTTTTATTTATTTCTTTATTTAACATAAAGCAAACGTTTTCCCACTTTCATCCCCTCAATTGATTTTCTGAAGCACACAAAACTGGCTGTTGAAAATCCTGCACGAAGATTTCATAAACTTGTTTTTGTTTTATTTTTCACTTCAGAATTTCCATCTTTAATCTCAAGGGTGTGTTGATTTCCCTGCAGGGGGGATCAAACATTATGGATTTTCTCTGCTGAAAAAATCCAGATCACATAAAGCTCACCTGGCTTAATGATTCCAC